GTGGATAGTTCTTTTCTCTAGATCACGACCCTATAGTTGATGCTAGTCACTGAATATCATTCAAATATGAGAAGCTAGTTCTTTCAAGTTCCGGACGAAGATATACTGTGCTTACTAAACTTGCATGCATCTAATTTTGTTATAAGGTCATTAAACTGTGTTCAACAACTTCCAACTATTTTCATGTGAATAAAAGAACTGAAGGAAATAGGTTGAAAAAATTGACTTTTATTTATGTAAAGCCATGATCAGTTTTGAGATGACCCAAAATGCTTCGTGTTTTCTAGAGAGTCAAGTCAATCATTTTATGTACAGCAAGGCCCCTCGGACAGTAACATTCTACGTTTTGAGGTAGAGCTGTTAGTCAGTAGCCAAGAGAATCCTTGTTTTTTCACTTTGTACCATAAGATCTTAACATGCATCTGAAGCACTAGTTTATTCTGATTAAAATCTCATCCGCAAGACAACTTCGGACAGTGTCGCATGCCGAGATTAGATAATAGGGAGCATGCTGTTTGCAAAAGTGTATTGGGAAGACTGTTCTGTCTCACACTGATCCTTAGCCATCAACTTCATCCATATTCCTAGCCATTATTTAAAGCTGAACCAGACTATTCATTACCTTAGTGTTTTATTTGACACTCGGTTGAATTTCCAACCATTCCCCCCAGTAACTTTGCTCCTCTCTGTTCCTGCCTCAACTTGCCTGTTACAACAAACCTCAATCATATCTTTGTTACTGATAGGCTCCAGTGCTTTTCAGGTTAACTTCCCAGTTTCCAAAAACTTAAGCTCATCTAAAACTTTGCCCTTCTGTTAACTTGGATCAGTTTCAGTTTGCTTCTCACCCTTGTGCTCACTTATCAATTTTGACTCCAGGTCCAGCATTGTCTTGATTTTTTGTTTTTTAATTTTTGCCCTTATTTTCAACCTTCCTTACAATACAATGCAGCACAGGAACAGGCTCTTCAGCACACCAAACCTGTGCTGGTTCCAAGTCCTTATTTAGACTCACTATTTATTGCCCATACATGGTTTCTATCCCTCCTGTTCATGTGTCCATCAAGCTATGCCTTAAAACGTTGCTAACATGTCTGCTTCCACTGCCTCCATTGCAGTGCATTCCAGGCACTCGCCACCCTCTGAGGAAAAATTTTCCCTACACTTCTCCCCTAAACTTTCCCCTCTCACCTTGAGCCTGTGCCCTCTTGTAGTTGACCTTTCCACCCTGGGCGAAAAGCCTCTGACTATCCACCATATTTTCACCTCCTAATTCCTCCATCAGGTCAGCCCTCAGCCTCCATCTTTCCAGTGAAAACAATGAGTTTATCCAATCTCTCCTCTTAACTGTAAAATCTTCCAGACTGGGCAACATCCTGCTAAACCTTCTCTTCACCCTCTCCAAAGCATCAGCGTGCTCCTTAAAGTCTGACCACCAGAACTATGCACACTATTCCAAATGTGGCCTAACTAAAGTTTTATACAACTGTAACATAACGAATCAACTTTTATATTCGATGCCCTAGTCAATGAAGGCAAGTGTGCTGTATGCCTCATTGACCATCTAATCCACCTGTGTTGCCACTTTCGGGGATCTGTGGCTGTGTTCTCCCAGATACCTCTATTTAGGTGCTCCTAAAAGTTCTGCCATTTATAGTATAATTCGCATCTGAATTTGTTCTTCCAAAATGCAACACCTCACTTTTTTGTCCAGATTAAACGCAATCTGCCATTTCTCTGCCCAAGTTGACAATCTGTCTATAATCTCACTGTATCCTTTGACAGTCCTCCTCAATATCTGCAACTCTGCCAATTTTGATATAATCCACAAACTTACTACATTTTCTTCCAGATCATTTAAATATGTATATTGCAAACAGCAAAGGTCCCAGCTCTGATCCCTGTGGAACACCATGAGTTATTGATCTCTATTCCAAAAAGTATCCTTCCATCATTACTGTCTTCTGTGACCAAGCCAAGTTTGTATTCATTTAGCCAGCACACCCCAAATCCCGTGAGACTTCCTTTTGTACCAGACTGCAATGAGATACCTTATAAAATGCCTTAAAGTCCATGTAGACAATATCCACTGCCCTTCCCTTATCAATCATTCTTGTTACCATCTCAAAGTCAATCAAGTTGGTGAGACATGACCTTTCCCTGCACAAATCCATGCTGCCTATCACTAATAAGACCATTTGGTTCCAAATGTGAATAAATCCTGTCTCTCAGCATCTTCTCTAATAGCTTTCCTACCACTGACGTCAGGCTTACTGGCCTGTAATTACCTGGATTATCTCTTTCCCTCCTTTTAACAAAGGAACATTTGGCCTTTCTCCAGTCCTCTGGAACCTTGCCTGAGACCAAAGAGGATGCAAAGATATCTGTTAAGTACCCAGCTATCTCCTCCCTTGCTTCCCACAGTATCCTGGGATAGATCCCATCTGGCCCTGGTGGCTTGTCTACCTTAATGCATTTTAAGACACCCAATGCTTCCTCCTTCACTATGTTGTTCTGCTCCAGAGGATACACACATCTTTCCATAACCTCAGCATTCCTCATGTCCTGTACTTTGGAGAAAACTGATGTAAAATATTCATTAAGGATCTCGCCCATTTCCTCTGGCTTCACACATAATCTCCCTCCTTTTTATCCATAAGTGGGCCTACTCTTTCCCTAGCTACCCACTTGATCTTACTATATGTATAAAATGCCTTGGGATTTTCCTTAATCCTGCTGGCCAAGGACATTTCATGGCCCTTTTTTAGTCCTCTTAACTCCCCATTTGAGCTCATTCCTACTTTCTGTATATTCTTCACGGACTTTTTTTAGTCGTCTAAACCTTTGGTATGGTTTTTTTGACTAAGCTGATAATTTCCCGTGTCAATCCAAGGTTCCTGAATCCTGCCATTCCTCTCCTTCATTTTTCACAGGAACATGCCTGTCCTGCGATCTATTCACTGGTCTTTAAAAGACTCCCACATGTCAGATGTGGATTTACCCAAAAACAGCTGCTCCCAGTTGACATTCTCCAGTTCTTGCCTAATTTGGTTACAGTTGGCTTTCTCCCAATTAATCACCTTCATCTGAGGCCAACTTTTGTATTTATCAATAAGTATCTGAAAATGTGGGGAATTACGGTCACTATTCCCAATATGCTCCCCCACTGAAGTTTTGATCACCTGGCCAAGCTCATTTCCCAATACCAGGTCCAGTATAGCCCCCTCACTTGTTGGGCTATCCAGATACTGTTTGATTAAAAACCCTCCTGGGCAACTAACAAATTGATTTGCCATCCAAACCCTGGCACTAAAGGAGCCCCAGTCAATATGGGGCAAGTTAAAATTGCCCACCATAACAACCCTGTTATTTTAAATCTTTCCAGACTCTCCTCCTCTATTCCCCGCTGACAGCTGGGAGCTCTGTAATACAATCCCAGCATTGTGATTGCACCCTCCTAAACCTGAATTCTACCCATAATGCCTTGGTGCAAGATCTCTCTTAGGTGTCCTCCCTCAACACAGCTGTGATATGCTCCCTAATTAGTAATGCAACTCTCACACCTCTTTTGCTGCCTCCTCTGTTTCATCTAAAACATCAATATCCCAAATGTTAAGCTGTCATCCTGTGCCTCTTCCAACCATGTCTCTGTCATACCAACAACATAATTGCATGCATTAATCCAGGCTCTAAGTTCATCCATTTTACCTGTAAAACTACTTGCATTGAAACAAATACAATCCAAGCCTCCAATTCTGCTGAGCTCGGCAACTTCTCCCTGACCACCCTTTCTCTTAGCTATATTTGCCTTCGTCTCAAGCTCTTCCTCAGTCTTTGGTACTTAGTGACTTACTGGTCCAGTTCCCCCACTGCCACACTAGTCTAAACCCTCCTGAGTGGCACTATCAAACCTCCCTGCCGGGATATTGGTGCCCTTCCAGTTTAGGTGCAACCTGTGCCCCTTGTACAGGTCCCACCTTCCCTGGAAGACATCCCGGTGATCCACATATCCGAAGCCTCCCCTCCCCCCATACCATCTTTTTGACCACATGTTCAACTGTATCATGCCTCTGTTCCTAGCCTCAGTAGCACATGGCACAAGGAGTAATCCTGAGATTACTACCTGAGAGGTCCTGCATTTTAGTTTACTACCTAACTCCCTGAGTTGTCATTGCAGAAACTTATCGCTCTTCCTAACTGTCCATCTTGGCACAAATGACATTCTGACTTCTGACCATTTACCATCCCATTTCAGGATGCCCTCTATACACTCAGACACCTATCATCCTGACACCTGGGAGACAACATAGCATCCTGGAGTGTCTCTTGTGGCCATAGAAGTGCCTTTGTGTGCCACTGACTATTGGATCTCCAAGTACTACTGTGTGCTTTGTCCCCCTCTCTGTGCAGCAGGACCTTGCTCTGCCCTGACTCTGCAACCACTTCCAGCACTATCATCCTTGTATCTGGGTCCTCCAGTTAGTCTGGATATTCCCAGTTGGTCATCACTCCACAGATGACAGATGTGCCTTCACCTTCAGCATTTAGCTCTAAAATTCCTTTCCTAACCCCCTCCTATCCATGTATCTCTTACTTCCTTCAAAATGTTTAAGACCTAACTCCTCTTCCAAGCTGTCAGCCACCTATTGTAGCACATCTGTAGCTCAGTATCAAAGTTTTTGTTCCAATGCAGTGCCCTCTGTTGTTTTGTTAAATCTACATAAATGCAAGTTGTTGAGGGATATGTTTGTATAGAAGAGGAATGCCTTTAGCTGCTTCAACGGGGAATAAAGATTGTTCACTTGGATGTTGAATGATTTCATCTTCCTTGCAATATTTTCAAACTTTCAGATGTATACTTAGCCATAGTCTTACAATGTGCTCACATCGCTGAATCATTAAAAGTATGATTCAGACCAAAGCATTGCAGCTAAAGTAAACAATGCATAATATAACTAATGCTAATATTTCAGTTTCAGTAACTTGCTCTTCTTTTGCAGGCAATTGGTTATGCTTCTGCACCTCCACAGATTAATTCAGCAACTCAGGAAGTCTACATTTCTTTCAGGACCAATACTACCTGCCAAACCAATCCTAAGTTGACTTATGACTCCCTCATAGTATTTCATTGTGTCAAGGGTGTAGACTTGGTAAGAAACTCGCTTGACTCTTGTGTAATCAGTATAAAGTCTAATATTAATCAAAATCAAGTGGGTAACAGTAGAAGTCTTGTTCTTTTGAATAATGACTAATGCGTACTAGCTTTATGTAAATGAATGAGATAGTTGTTTCGCATACAAAGCTTAGCTTTTCTTGTTGTTTTCTGCCTTTGTATATCTATACCATTATCTAATATTATATGTTGTGATAATTTAGAAATGTGACATGAAATTTCATGTGCTGAAATGCTGATTCATTCTGTGATGATTTCTTCTGTTCAGGGAAGACCAAAGATGATGAGAAAATCAGAATGTAGCTTTGTGTTTGAATGGGCAACTCCACTAGTCTGTCTGGATTCAGTGATTACATCTGGCTGTTCGCTATCTGATCAACAGTTACATCACACTTTCAATCTGTCTGTTTTAACAGGAAGGAGAAACCAGGTAAGCACATTAATTATAGGAAACTAATGAGTAATAAACTGGAGCTTGAGTGTAGGAGACATATTGACATTTACAAACAACACAAAAATGAGTGAAAGAACTAAGAAGACAAAGGATGTGGATAAGTAGAGGCCAGGTGGATCACAAATGAAGTTTAGTAAGTAGCAATGTGAAATGAACCACTGAATGGTAAAATATACAAGAGCAGGATGATTGGGGATTGAGTTATGTGTATTGTTTAAAAAATTGTGTGCAACAGTTGATATGCCTGTATTATAAAGCTGGGACAACTCCTACTTTGTGCAATAATATTTTGTGGAAGATTGTCAAATGCCTTCTGGAAATCTAAATATAGTACATCAGTAGGCTTCTTTTATCCAAAACACATTACTCCTTCAAAGAATCCCAATAACTTGGTTAAACGTAATTTCCATTTCACAATACCATGTTGACTCTTCCTAATTACCTGGAGTTGCTTTTAAATTACAGGCTATAATGTCTTTTTTTTTACCCCTTTTTAGACATTGAGTTAACTGACCTATAAAATCCTGTTTTCTGCTTTCCCCCTTTCTTGAACAGAGAGATTATATTTGCTGATTCCCCGTCTAATGAAACCTTTCCAAAATCTAGCAAATTTGGTAATATTAACACCAAAGTATTGATAGTAGAGAAGATTAGACCGTAGGATGAAGTTCATGACCTGAGGACTTGTGAGCTTAAAGCTCTAGCAGCTTGCTTAGTACCACTTCCATAGGGATTGTAATTTCACCAAGTTACTCTTGTCTCCCACCTCCTGATTGTAGTTATTACTACAATGTTTTTGCTATTCTCTATAGTGAAGAGAAGCAAAATATCTATTCATTACATATGCCATTTCTGTATTAACTCTCTATTCTCTTTTTCAAGAAAGTCAACACCTACTTACCCTTTCCCTTTTGGAAATGACTGTAGAAACTTTGCTATTGCTTTTACTCCTTATCTTGCTTCCTCTCAGTCTCCTGAGGTTTTTGTTCAGTTCTTCTAATTAAGTATTTAATTAACAAGTCGCTATTGGAAAACAGTATGATTTCAGATTTTTAACATACAGGAAGCATTTACATATAAAAAATCTTCAATGCAGAATAGTCGCATAATTTGCCGTAATAATAGAACTTATTGACACTATGCTTGACCCTTCAGGTCAGTTTTGAAGGAAGGACATATTACCTTAATATATGTGCAGCAGTAACAGGTGTACCTGACTGTAAAAACAGTGCTGTCTGCTTGGTTTCTGGCAATGAAACAGCATCATTTGGCAATCCAAAAGCAATGACCCTGGAATACAAACACCAGGATCGAGCCTTGATCCTGCATTACAGGAGTAGTGACTTGTGCCCAAAAGGTAAGAGACATTAATTTAGTTTGGTTGCTAAGCCTCTTGTGTACAAAATACATTACCTACAAGTAAATGTCAAGTTGTGCAGTTTTGTTTTGGTTTGAATCCTTAATTAGTAAAGACCACCCTGAGAAGCAGCAGTAGGCTGTGGGTTTCTTGAGGAATCATTAGAATTCCTACAGTGTGGAAGCAGGCCATTTGGCCCATTGAGTCCACAGTGACCCACCAAAGAGCATCCCACTCAGACCCACCCCCTACCCTATCCCTGTAACCCTGCATTTCCAGTGGCTAATCCACCTAGCTTGCGCAACCCTGGACAGCAATTTAGCATGGCTAATCCACCTAACCTGCGCATTTTTGGACTGGTGGGAGGCAATTGGAGCATTGGTAAGAAATCCATGCGGACATGCGGAGAATGTCCAAACTCCACATAGTTTCCGAAGGCTGGTATTGAGCCGGGGTCCCTGGTTCATGTGAGGCAGCAGTGCTAAACACTGAGCCACCATGCCACCTGTGTTCTGAGTTAGCTGACCTTTAATCAGGATAGAATTATAGGAAGCTGCAATTTGCTTCATTGCCCTGAGCTGAAGAAATAAAATAAATTTGGCCTGGGTCCTGCTGAAAGTGCCTTTTGTGAATTTCGAAAGCATCTATGAACTGAATGGATATTATTATGCTGTCTATAATTGAATGGATGGACATGGTCATTGTTTCCGCTCATGTATAAAGCTGACCACCTGGATGAGTACTGGTAGCCCAAAAAGTGACAGCAAGAAAGAACAGAAGATCTACAGAAGATAACAGAGCATGATAGGAGTTCACCTATTTTTTTATTTAAGCAACAGTGAAAGAAATTGCATTATACAAACTAGCTTAGACTAAATCTCACTTGTTGGAAGTTACTTAATCCTTTTCCTCAATGTCTTTGTCTTTGACAGTAACTGAAAGAGGAGAGTTTTGCAGATTCCCTTTTAAGTTTTTAGGGAACTCCTACAGTGAGTGTACAACTGATGGGAGAACAGATGGATTTCTGTGGTGTGCAACAACCGATGACTATGACAGGGACAAAGCATGGGGCTTCTGTAGTAGTGGTATGTAACAATCACCAATGTTTTTGTATACAAGTAGTGAATGATTAAAATGACTGCTACTTAAATAGTTAATTCCTTGCAGTTTGTTATTTAACTTTTTTTTTTATTATTCATTGGTATCAGCAACGGCAACTCGGAGATCCACAATCATCTTCAGATGTGATGAAATGGCTGAAAATGGAAGCCCTAAAGTGCTGAGTGAGATCCTTGGTTGCTCAACAACGTTTGAATGGAAGACAAGCGTAGTTTGTCCACCCAAAAAGATGGAATGCAAGATAATTCACAGGCATAAGACCTATGATTTGAGAATGCTTTCTTCCCTTACCGGATCATGGAAGTTTACATCTAATGGTGATACGTAAGTTATGGTTTTACTAGAGGTTGGTACTGTTTTTATACAGTGCTTGCATTATAATTGCAATGTTAAAATTTATCGAGTAGATAATATTTAAATTCATACTGAACTATGGAAACTACCTGATGACTGACTAGCTGAGTCATACAGGAAGGTTCTAGGTTTGGATTTCCAGCTTGTACTGTTATCAAATCTCTAAGGGTCAAAAGGTGGAGCTGCATTGGTTTGATGACCCATGGGTTCAAAAAAAGAAAGGATATGAAATATGGATTCACCCCTTATTGGGCTTGCATATACACAAAATGTCAGTTGAACTTTGGCGCAGTCCAACTTTGCAGTGATTGTTGTGCCAGAAAATACATTTGGCTAATATTGCTCACTACCATCTTGGATGCTTGATTAATAATAAAACAAGCATGATGCTTTGTACCTGTGAAACAGTACTCCAGTAAGAAATGAACCCTTTTGTGGAAAGTTGATTTAAGAGGAAGACTAATTTTAAAGAAAGGAACCTGTTTGGTTGACATGTTTTAGCAGTGCAAATGCTAATTTATAAAATTTCTGTGATTTGTAGACTTGAGCAAAAAGATGAGGTTGGTTATTTTATAAGTGAATTTCAACGTACAGCGCTTTCCTGACCCTGTTAAGACATTGGTAGTACATGATCGTTTTTGTCAAGTGAGCGTTGGGATATCACAAGCTGTTGAAATGTTAGAGTCCATATATTTATTACAATAACTTGCTTTATTCCCCTCATTCCTGATTCCTTCCCCCCCCCCCCCCACCCGAAATCCAAACTCTTTGTAAAGTCCTATCTTTTGGAATACTAGGAGGGTGATCCCAGAACCATAGAATGTGCCACTGAAGAACTCCAATGCTCAGTAATATTAGAGAATCCAGCCAATAAAAGGACTGTTGCTTTTGAAGAATGACATAAGTAGGTGGTCATAGAATCATAGAATCTTCACAGTGTGGAAACAGGCCATTTGGCTCAACAAGTCCACACTGACTCCCTGAAGAGCATCCTCCACCCCCTACCTATCACTGTAACCTTACATTTCCCATGGCTAATCCACCTAGCCTGCACATCCCCTGACACTATGGCCGCACTAATTGCCCATCTAACCTGCACATCTTTGGACTATGGAAGGGGGACCCAGAGGAAACCCACGTAGATACGGGGAGAATGTGCAAATTCCATGCACGGTCGCCTGAGGCTGGAATCAAACCTAGCTGTTTGGCGCTTTGAGACAGCAGTGCTAGCCACTGTACCATGGTGAAGGAGGATATAAAAGACAGTGGGGTAATTTGTAGTGTTTTTGCTCAGTTATTTTACACTTGGCCTATGTTGGTTTTGTGCAAACTACACTCAGAGTGGATTAAATAATTTGGTTCCGTGTAATGTCTGAGGTATTTTTGGGCTTTCAACCTACCTTTTAAATATTTCTAGCCTAACGTAGTATACGACTGTTCGACTATTTCTTTTTTCCTGAACACACTCCACCTAGATTGTACTTCAATAATACCTGAATTTTTGCGATACAGTTGTGAATTTTGCTGCTTTGCAGAAACTTTTTTTTAAATGCCTGTTGTATAATAATCTCAAATGCTGATTGGTTTAAGGTTTTAGCAAAGATTTGTAGCTTGGGTTGTGGGTGAGGTTGTTGACTTGCTCGCCAAGCTGGCTTGTTTTCATTCAGATGTTTTGCCACCACGCTAGGTAACATCAGTGAGACCTCCAATGAAGCGATGTTTTCTCCATTTGGAATTTATACTGTCTGGTCCATTATGGTGAGTAGTGTCATTTCTGGTTTTGTTCTGTATGGGTTTGTGTATGGAGTCCAATTTTATGTTTGTCGAATGCATTATGGATTGAGAACCATTATGGGTCAAGTATACAAACAGATCAATGGCATACCCATGGGGTCGCCCATCTCAAGACTCACTGCAGAAGCAGTCATGCAGAGACTAGAATACACTACACTTCTCCGCATTCAACCTAAACTGTGGATCTAGTATGTGGACGACACATTTTGTCATTATTGAATGCAGCAAACTAGAAGAGACCCACCATCTCATCAACATATTTATGGGATTAAATTCACAAGAGGAGAAGAAAAGAACAAAAAGCTTCCGTTTCTGGACATCAGAGTTGAGCATATGACCAACAGGGAGTTCCAAACCTCAGCATACAGGAAAGCAGCCCACACTGACCAAATCTTCAACTTCCATGGCAGCCACCCCAACGTCTACAAACAAAGCTGTATTATTACACTATTTGAACGGGCCACCGTTCGCTGCAAGATGCCAGAGCTACTCGAGCACCTATACAAAATCATCGCTGGAACAGATATCCCTGCAATTTCATCTGCAGGTGCCCATTAATTAAACAACAACAAGCGGACACAGTACGCCCTAACATACTGGCCACACTGCCCTACATCAAGAACATATCGGAACTGCCAGTGAGACTCCTACAACCACTAGGAATCATGGTAGCACACAAGCCCACAGCCGCTCTATGACAAACACTTACAAGGATTAAAGACCTCATTCCCACAACGTGCAGAACCAACGTAGTTTACAAAATACCGTGCAACCACTGCCACAAACATTACATCGGACAGGCTGGATGGGAACTAACCATCAGAATACACGAACATCAGCTAGCAGCAAAATGGCACGATGAACTCTCCTTAATATCGGTACACTCAGACAATGAAGGCCATCAGCTTAATTGGGATAAGGTAACCACAGTAGCCCAAGTCAAACATAGACATACATGGGAATTCCTAGAGGCATGATTCTCAACCCATAATGCAGTCCACAAGCATATAGAATTGGACCCCACATACAAAACCATACAGAACAAAACCGGAAATGATACTACTGCCCATAATAGACCAGACAGTATAAATACCAAGCGGAGCAGAACAACATCGCTTCATCGGAGGCCTCACGGAGGATGTTACCTAGCGTGGTGGTGAAACGTCTGAACAAAAACAAGCTAGCTCGGCAAGCAAGTCAACAACCTCTGTTTTGGTGCTGCTGTTGGTAATCCAGTGCATACCAAACAAGACTGATGTAGTTAAGTGACTGTGGTATTGTTTTTTGTCTTTTGCAATATAGTGTTTATAAGTTTCATCCCAGAATTGCTTTTACTACACATTTTACCAAAATGTTTTTATGAAATTGTAGAGCTTTGGATTGTTACAACATAGGTGGTTATTTGGCCCATCAAATGCAGCTTTCCATGAGCTGCTAATACCCCTACTCCTTGCCTATAGCCCTGCAAGCACTCATCAAATTTTTTTTGAAAACTATGATTGAATATGTCTCCATTCCCTACCCTAATCCTAACTACACGCTGGATAAAAAGTTTCTCATGTCAGCTTTGATTCTTTTGCCAATCACCTCTTAAAAACTGGGAAGAGAGCAGAGTTAGTATTTCTAGTCCAGTGACTCTTCAAGAGAACTCCTAGCCGCTAGGAAAATGTGGTATTTATACTGAAGTCATTGTGGCGGGGAGAGGTTAGTGAATAGGTGAAATTGGAGCCCAGAGAGAGAAATATGAAACGGCCAGGTAACCAAGGAGACTATTGATAGCGGGCCAGGACAGAAGAAGTGAATGTGATCATCAGAGCTAAAGTAGGAGAGAATGGATGAGCTGTACTGAATGCGATCCGTATAATGTAATAGGCCCAGAAATAGGTGAGAATGGATGACTGTGCTGATAGCAACCAGTGTCATAACAGGACCTGGTGTGGGGTGCGTGAAAAACATAAGGACAGAATCAGGCTTTAAAGTTACTGAACTCTGTGGAGTCTTAGAGACTGCAGGGCCTGAAATCGAAAAATGAAACGTTTTGCAAGCTTGCACTGAGGCTGGCTGGCGCACTGCAGCAGGCCTGCAGTTGACGTGGGAACTCGGTGCTGAAGTGGCAGGTCACTGGAAGCTCAGGGTCGTTTTTGAGGACAGAATATAGGTGTTCTGCAAAGCGGTCACCCCGTCTGCCTTTCATCTCCCCAGTGTAGTGGAGACCACATTGTGAACAGCAAATATAGTAGACTAGACTGAATGAAGTAAAGTAAATTGCTACTTCACCAGTAAAGTGTATCTGTGGCCTTGGATAGTGAGGAGGGATGAAGTAAACGAGAGGTGTTACTTCCACGCACCTTCCCATGCAATGACAGGTGTATGAGCAGATGTTAGAAATGGAGGAACGTACCAGAGTATCCTGGACAGACAGTCCCTACGGAATGCTGACAAGGGAGGGGGAAATGTGTTTCTGGCATTCCATTGGAGGCGATGGAAATGGTGGTCCACAAGCCTTTGGATGTGGAGGCTGGTGGGTTAGCAAGTGATGACTGGGGGGACCCTATCGTTGTTGTGAGAGGGAAGGGAAAAGGTGAGGGCAGAAGTGTGGAAGACGAATCAAGTATGGCGAAGGGTCCAGTTGACCGTGGTAGTGGGGAATCCTTGGTTGATGAAAAAATGGATGTCTGAGTCCCCCTGTGGAAGCTGACATGATCAGAACAAATGTGACAGAGAAACTGGGAGAATGGGATGGTGTCCTTTTTTAAGGAAGCAGGATGTGAGGATGTATAGTCGAGATAATTGCGAG